ATAATATCATGATTGTAGGTATTCCCTTTGTTCTCGCAGGGCAATTAATAACTAATACACCTCATTATATTCATTTTTATCTAATCCTACCCGTTTTTACGTCATGTCAGGTAGAATTAGTTCTAATCCTACCCGAAACGACGTCAAAGCGGGTACGATTAGAAAAAATGAATATAAATGAAGATATCTGAAATCGCCAAAACTAAACAAAGACAGGGAAAACAATTATACCATTTAATTTATACTAAATGACCCTCATCGAGCGGCGCCCAAGGGAATTATACTAAACGACCCTCATCGGGCGGGACGTTTTAATAGCTAATTCGCTTCTTTTTATGCTATTACTTATAAGTGTACATCCACACCGGGCGAGCTTGAAAAATATGCCCGGCCACGGTGGGAATCGAACAGAGCTATACTGGCTAGCTCTGTCAGTCTGATCTCTCTGAAGTATGTTTTTCTTCCAGATATTTGATGGACCAACATCTTCCTCAGCAGCTATCTATCCTACGTTTGTAAAACTTGCAGAACCGGTTGTGACTCGGTATATACGAATATTACCTCGAAAACAATCAGACCCGTTTCATGTGATGAGGCTGGAAGTTTATGGTTGTCTTAAGGAGCCTATGCCTTCATATTTTGGTAAGCTGTGACCAATACCATACCATGCCATAATATGCAATACCATACCATATCATTGCACAGTGTAGCATACCATAAAATACTACACCACACTATACCATACCATACCACGCCTTACCATGCCATATCATACTATACCATGCCTTACCACACTATACCATGCCTTACCATCACTACCGTAGGAAGTAAATTTGTATTGGGGGGGGGGGCTGATTAGTCAGGGGCGATTATTACGTCATTATTTCCCTCTCAAACGTCACAGATTATCGCTAGTTTACAAATTATTGAGGGGGGCTAAAGCCCCCCCATTTCCCCCGGTTGCTACGGCCCTGACCATGCCTTACCAATGCCATGCCATGCCATGCCATGCCATACCTACAATACCATGCGATAAATAGTATCTTGTTTTTAGTTCCAGATGATTTTTCTCGTCGTTCATATCTCCTGAACAACTTAACTGGCGACTTTTACGTCTGCCTCTATAGCGATGACAGGTATGAATCTACAAATAATTTTGTAGCGTAGCGAATTGGATAAAAATATTTTAGTCTTGTGCATATCTTTCTTATTTTATAGAACTAAAAGCAGTTGCCAATATACCAGAGATGGTTACACCTGGAAAAGTAAGTTACCCAAATCAAGAATGTTTAATCCGTGTTAGCAGTGGCGAAATAATGCAGCGCGATTCATATCTCCATGAATACAGCGCGATTCCCCCTGCCCCCCAACCCCCTCCACCCTAGTGTCCGCCGCTGCATGTTAGTCTAGAAATGGCTGATTCGTTTGGACGAACTTGAGCAAAGAAAAGATAGCTCGCAATTCGTCTGTGTGTAAATGCGACAAACAGATGGGACTCTCCCTCAAAACCATAGGCGTACCGGGCGGGGGGGGCGGGGGGGGGGGCGGCAGCCCCCCCAGTTTTTTGGGCAGTCGGGCAATATTCGATAAACAGTCGGGCAATTTTGGTATGCAATAAAAAAAAATGGGACAAATTCTGTTAATTTTGTCTAAAATTAATTCAATTTTTTGGCAAATGTTGCGATTTTTCGAAAATTTGTGTTATGTTCCGAAAAATATTGGTTGTCCGAAAATTTTTTTTGACCCGTAAAATGGTACACTGACCGAAATTTTTTTGGCGACGGGAGGGGGAGGTCGCCAAAATAATTTTTCCGGAAAAAATTTTTTGGTAGTCGGGCAGAATCCCGAAAAGTCGGGCAATTTTCTTACCGCCCCCCTAATTTTTTCCTTCCGGTACGCCCATGCTCAAAACAGACTATTCGTGTAGTTGGTCTCAAACACTTTGATCTACAACGCAGAACTGGCATGGATGTATGGCATTAGACTAACTAACAAGTCTTGCAAGCCTTTGACTGAGCTGTAAGGAAAATGTTCATATAAGAATGACTTGGTTGTTTGTACAGAGTTCAATCAAAAGTTTGCAGTGATGGATTTTGAAATGCTTTGAAACTGACGTAAAATACTACCGAATAATTATGTATCAGCATGCCTGTGCCAGATTTGACAAGGAATCTATCATGACACAGTATGGTCAATTTGAGACGTCCAGCATGCCCTAGCCAAGCCTAGCATACCTCAGCATGAAGGGTAAATCAATTGCGGCGCCATAGCCAAAACATCACAGCATTACTGAGCATAGTATGGAGTAAGAAGAAGATGTATTAGTTGTGCTAAAAATCTGACACAGTTATTTAACGTAATTTATAACAAGACCGCAATGACTGAAAAATAAACATTTGGATAAATAGACAAGAGAATTTTAGGTTAATATGCTTCTCCAGTATTGGTACCAACTGACATACAACATGTTTTATTTTAGAGTTGAGCAAACGCATAGTAAAAGTTTTGGCTCTTGACTCTCGTAACTTTGCGATATATGGGCTGGATCGATCAAATAGTTATCTACGACTTTCTGGGAATGACTGGACTGTCATCTCTCTCAAGCAATGGGAGAGAGTGCAATTGTCATTAACTGTGATACTAGCCAGAGATGTGCCTGAAAATCTTCTCAGAAAAGATCATATTGGAGGAGAAATCTATGAATCCAGCAATGGTTATCAGTGGGCAGGTAACAGGTCTTCCCATGTCATAAAGAATCATTTCATAGACATATCAAGTATAAGTAGAGTTAGTGTAGACTTTCTCAATGAATTATATTTCATTATTTTCTTTAGTTTCCCACCCTGGTGTAAATATGAAAAGTCCTGGGGGAAATTGGGTCCTAGTAGCCACATGGAAATGCTGTAATCATTGATTGTCTGAGAGAGTGGTTGAAGGCTTCGAAATGAACGATGTTTATTAAATCATGCTAGTATTAGTATTGTTAGTAAAATATATGTAACGAGGTTAATGTATTTCTTGTAGACTTTATGTAAAAGTATTTACTGTAAATATATAAATAAATATTGATTTGTGGAATTAAAATTTAATGAATAACGTGAATAGTCCTGACCAATCCAGGTTGACTTCCGAGATCAGTGGGCGCTTCAACGCACTTGATAAGTCAGCGGATGCCCTTTTCATCTTCTGTGGTATCATGTAGCGCTGAGTCGCAGCTTAAAAAATGGAAAATGCTTCAGTTCGATATTTTTGCTTTTGTTTTGTATATTTTTTTGTTAAAAGGCAGGATTTATTAACTAAAACAACAGAAATAATGCTAGTAAAGTTCGAACTTCAAGTTTTAATACAAAAATATATGGATTTATGTAAAAAAATTGACGAATTCGTCCGAGTTTCAAAAGGCGGGAAAATACGAAGTGAAAGTCTGTTGGCAACTGAGGTAAGAAACTGTCTTGAAAAGATAAAAAAAATACTGTAAGAAGTATTTCTAGTTGTATTTTTTTAGTAGAAGTGTCTTAATGCAACGAATGCAATTGTTGCAAGTATATTGGTTGAACATTTTCTATAAAGTACTAGCCATGCAGAAGGGGGGTCTATTATAGGGGGTACGCATCTCCGAAAACCGAGCTGTTTTTCAAATTTTAACCGCAAACCGCGCACTCATTTCTCTTTTAAACGTAACCGCGTATAAACCGAGGCATATGTGGTAATATATTTCGAAACATACTCCGCAAATGTGTGGCAATAGACCAATAGTCAGTATGTATAGTCGCCATTTCTATTGGAGTATTGAAAAGGGAGTCGTTCACAAGTTTCACGCGAACTTGGTAGTATAAAATTTGGCAATTGGCAAAGCAAAGGAAGCCTTAGCAGTCTAAATAGCTATGAAAAAGGTTTTCCTTCCATCGCTGCTTACGTTTTGTGTGAGAAACAATCAAGTTGCTTTGATTTCATCTTTTCGGGCAAATATTTATTACTTTGAGACTGATTTCAGTTCGTAATTAGTAGCAATCGGCAAGTCAGAATATTAAAAAGCAGGTTTTACTTTTACAGAATAATTTTTCCTGCAATAATTTCACAACCTCAGGTAATTTTTCCCCTCGAATTTTTAACAATTAAGCGGAATTTTTGGTGGCCGGTGTTCCGTGTTCCGGTGTTTCTGATTTTACTAATAGCCCGGCCACTTTGCCTATTTGATATCGTCATTTTGAGACCCTGTAGAACAACACACAAGCGTGATCGGAAGATGAATGCCATGAACTGAATTATTGCCATGAGCTCGTAAAATATTTCTTAACCGCATGTTAAAAACTTTCCGAAAACCGCTATTTATTTCGGTCAATAACCGAATCCGGAGGGCTAATTTCGACATGTTCCGTCTCCGCACGATTTCCAGTTAACCGCAAACCGTACAAAACAACTGGATATAACCGAAATCCGACCTCAAAATATGGCTAAATCCGCATAACCGCGAAACTATAATAGACCCCCCAGAAGGTTTCTAAACCGTGCGGAAACACAGTTCCCGCAACCAAACTCACATTTGGGAAGCAAAATATGTTTCTTAATTCATTGGGACACATTTTTGCTTCCTAGAAATTATGTTTTGAAGGCTGGGCAAACTGGGGTGCATTTGAAAATGTTTTTCAGTTTCCCAAGTTTTACAACAGTATTTAAATTGAACAAACTCTGTTAAAATAACAATATTGTTCAGTTTTTATCCAACAATGGAACAGAAGGCAATAGTAGAGATAGAACAATCATGTCTGTCAATATTATTGAACTTAACTGCAGAACAACCATGTATGATTTGTTTCTGAACTACATGAACAAATTTAAACCACTCCACCACCTTTTAAGTCAGCACCAGGGACGTGGTGAGTGGGTGCTATGATGGGTGTATCCCCCCCCCCCCTGCACTCGAAAATTTCAGAAACGTGAAATCAAGTTAAAATTTTGACATATTCGGGTAAAATTTGGATAACAAAGTTGTATTGAAAAATATTGAAAGAATCTCATCTTTTTTTGTGTGAAATATAATCAATTTGGATGTAACTAATTTATAAATTTGCTTCAGAAAACACCAGAAATGCAAAGCTTCAAAGATATAAAAATTTTCTGGGGGAGGTCCCCTTGACCCCCTGTTTTTTCAATAACGAATAGTCCTCCTCTCCCATTTCTGGATGCTTTGCTATGTCACGTACTGGAACTAGAAAAGACTTTCTCACATCAAAAAACATTCAAAGGTACTGCAACAAAAAAAACCCCAAACATCCACAATACTTGTTATTTGTGCCTAAATGTAAAAACAAATATTTAGTCGTCAACATTTGACTGTTATATTATTCAAATTGTGAGCGTTGTTGACATATGCTGCAGGAGACTCCCTGATTCTAATTTGATAATTTCTCAACTCTAATGCAGTGCTTTGACATGTATTGTTTGTTTCGGGCAATTAAAAAGAACTAATATGCTGTAATATAAAACCTTTTCGGTGCACAAAAGCATTTTATGAACGAGTTGATATATTTAGCCCCCCTACTGTTGTGAAAATGCAACAATGTTAATGATGTATACAAAATTATTGATCAACTTGTAAACCATAATAGTGTAATATTTCAGTGTAGGTGGGTGGTAGAAAGGTGAGCTATAATGGTTTAAAAGGTACTATTTATAGTTGTTCTGTTGTTCTGGGTACAGCTTGATATTTAGATGTTTTAATAATTTTGTTGGTTACTACCACAACTAGCATAAACAAAGCTCTTCAAAGAAGACAAGAAAGGGTGGTTTTTGCAGACAGAATCAATATCTCGCATGCTTTAAGTACATACTCTATAGTTATAACAAATTCTTGGGCACAACCCTGAAATCTCTTTGACTTTGGGAGCACAAATACAACATACAAATAGTCTAGTTTGACACAAAGAAATACTGGACCATTGATTAATCCATTTTTTATCACCAGCACTCTCCCCTTGATGAGCAAAATTTTCTGGCATTGGAGTGCAATTCAACTAAAGGGTTAAGGACTTATGATCATCCCTGGAAATCTAGAATATTTAATTTAGAGCTGATAGAGCTATATCCAGTACAAATAAGCACTAGCCAGGAGAAAGCCTTTACTGGAACTCTAGGAAGAACATTTTAAATAAGGTGGTGAAGAGTTTTTTGTGTAGATGGAAATTTCCAGTAAAAATTGTCTACAGTAGTTTAAACCTAACCAGGAGCAGTTGTAAAAAATACAACCATAGTTCCTCTGGCAGGAATTGAACCTGCAGCCGTGGGTTTCTGATGCAGCTGGTGTTCTGACCAACTGAGCTACAACTAGAGTCCAAGTTCATGTATATTACTAAGGTGATGTAAGGTATATGGGTGTTGAATGCCTGTGTAATGGCAGGGCACTGCAGGTTTGATTCCTGTCAGAAGGCCTATAGTTTCATTTCCTGCAGCTGCTTCTGGCTAGGTCTGAAAATATATATATAAATTTCCACTCACAATTTCCATATAGAAAAACCCCTTCAACATTTAGTTGTATGGAATAAATGCCCAATATCCTGATTAAATAAGTTTTTTGACTGTTCTTGCATGGAAGGTATTCAAACAGTGATTGTAAATGAATATCCATTTGTTCAAGACTAATGGATATAAATAAAACTAAATTCCTATCTTAATGTTGATCTTTTCGTTGCACTGACACAAATGTGTTCAAGGTGTCATTATGTGATGACTAACAAGATAAGTGGAATAAAAAGACACTTAACCGTATGATAAGTCACGTTTAAATGAAAATGAAAGGATAACTAAATTAAGATATCTGAACAAACAAAATAGACGAAATACTGTGTAAAGAAAAGGCGTTATACAAGTTGGAAAGATGATGTAACATACTGTACTGTACATGTAGATATAAAATAAATATTTATGAATTATATGGCATCGCATGTAAGCAAATAAAACTGTTTGATAATTGGAAAATATTAATTGAATGAAAGTGAAAATAGAAGAACTACAGACTACAGTATATTGCAAGAACAAAAGCTTTTTAATTAATCATATTTAGTACATGCAGTTGTGCAGCACATAATATATATATTTTTTCATTGCTTTTGCTAAAAAACGTATCTTCGCTAATAAGAATGTAAACAATAATTGCATAACAAAAGCAACATGACAATAACCAAAATAAAAACAGCTATAACAAAACACGAACAGAGATTTAATCCGGTTTCATGTCGGAAAAGAAACTTACTTAAAAGTCCTTTTATTAGTTAGCCAAATGTTTAATGTTTGTTTGATTAAATATTTGTTTACGTGTTTAGCTTGCTGTACTGCTGAAGGTTCTGGACTATTTAATAACGAAAGTGGGGGTCCACTGTCGCCTATTGTAGACAAAATTCTTTAATAGAGGTATACCTGAATGGATTGAAATACTCAGACTTAGTCGACTTTTTGAGGAAGTTTCTGGTAGCTCAACTTGCCTGAAAATGGGTCTTCATTCAAAACGTATAAATGTTTTCAAAAATCATTTTCATCATGCTAGTGTATACCCCATGCACTAAGCCAGCTGATTAATAACCTTGAGGCAATATTAAAAGCATTACTAGGCTACCGCTGGCTTTGCGAAAGAATTAAAACTATGAAAGGTTGTTGGCAGGGGTTCTAAACGGAAAAACAAATCATTACATAAACTACAACAAGGCACGTCTGAGCTCAAGGTACTTATGCCACTTTTATGACTGATTCATGCAACCACTTAAAAAACTTATAAACAATAAAAGAGACACGCTTTCTGGAAATCAGGACACGCATTAACAAGAAACGTGGTCCCTTTTCATGCTTTCTGTTCTTCACTTGAATACAGATGTCTAGTTTTGTGTCTAAAGTGAAGGAGTGTAATTTAGGGTATTGTGCTAGGCAATATGGCGTGTGCAGTCGTAGATAAGCATCTAGATTCACGAGCTATCTCACCACTCTGTTGCGCACGTTTGTTACTAGAAATGAAAGAACCTTTATCTTGAATTCGCCTTAAAGTGACATCTATTATGATTGCAATCAGCTACCGTTTTACAAGCCGTGTGCAGCCAAATAGCTCATACTGTGGGGCTTAATTTGAAAATACTTTGTTGCTTTTAACGGTTGCGAGGGCTTTGGGCAAAATTTTTAAAAAAAACTATGTCTAATTCTAGAATCGATTGAAGTTTGAGGACAATGGCCAATTGTATACCAAGTTTGGATCACACCGTAAAGTAATTTATTAGTACTCTCATTGTTTTGGCTTAGCTGTTCTTAGTCAGATAAAGAACTGTGCCAGCAAATTGCCATTGAGATCATCCCGCCTTTGTTCAGGTTTAACAATCACGGGGCCATGGCAATATCTTTTCACTCTCGCCCAGCAGGGTGTCTGCGATAACGCCTGATCACGCTAATGAATGATTTTAGTAACACGTTGAAGTGTGCATGCATACTTCGTGTGACTGTTAGTCGTGCTGGTGGTACTTGAGACGAACACTGGTGAAAGCGGATTAAGAAAGCAAGTGGATCAGCCTAAGCACACAGAAGTTATCAGCAGTGTTTCATGATCGAAAAAGTAAGCTACCTCGAAGGAGAAATTCAACGGTATATTGTGCACATATTTCTTGTGATTGTTCATCGTACGTGTTGCACTTGAACGCATCAGACAGTTAATCCTGAAGGGCGGAGGTAATTTGCGGTTAAAACATTGAAGTTGGAATACAACCTCAATGAAAGTTTCTTCCTAATCGACAAAGAAAGCTTCGTCGAAGAACGTTGTATTTTGAGCAAGTTGGGAAATAGTCAATTGTGAACAGTCAACAAATCGAAAGGAGGCAAACCTCTGACTTACAGTTGTATACCAAGCTTGAATCAACAAAGACGTAGTGTTTGTAGACCACAGTTGATCTTGTATTAGGAACAAGATACAGTGCTACAAAACAAAAGTTACTTTTAAGAACTTTGGTTACGTGAACTGAACCATCCAGAAGACTGTAAACTCTTGGGTGTCGGTAGCTAGGTGAGTAAGTTGACTTAGCAATTTATCGAGTGTGGTATACCAGAATACAAAAGAAATTATAGGCGTTAATCTCAAACTATTACGATCGAGAAGTCAACACAGGAACCTGGCTTAAAGTGAACACGGGAAGAATAAGAAGAAGCAGTAAGTAGAATACAGAAATTACATCGTGGTTCTAGTTGTGGTTTTGCTTGACGTGTTGTGGAAGACGAAGACCAGAGCTGAAGTAGAAATCCAGAAAACCCTCGTTTGAAATTCTGCCCACCACACCCTAAATATGTCTTCACGTCAAAGCCAAGGTCATATCCGTCGACCGATGAACAGCTTCATGGTGTGGAGTCGTGAAAAACGTTGTGAGATTCTGAAAACGAACCCAGGTATGAGCAACGCTGTGATCAGTAAGAAACTGGGGACGACTTGGAAAAGCCTATCAGACGAAGAGAAGAGACCTTATGTAGAAGAAGCAAAGCGACTGACCTGGCAACATAAACAGGACTATCCTGATTATAAATATAGACCACGAAGACATGGCAAGGGCAAGAATAAAACGGCAAATAATCCCAGGTATAATCCTACTTCTTTTTATCAAGGCCTGCTATATAGATTTACTGTTAGATGTACCCAGCCCATCTCTTATATTTCGGTAGCCTGCTCACAGCCCCCAACCGAAAATTTGAAACGGAAAATTAGGGTTTTCCTTTGAACGAAATTTCAGGCTGCGGGCAGGCTTAAGTCGGTGCCTCTCTCCAGGCTTCTGTTGGCTATGATTAATGCGATTAGTATTGAGATACATTTCACTACACTTGACATGGCGGATCTTGGAACACGAGTGGAGCCAAGTTTTGGTGTCCAAACAAAGTTTGGCATCGCTTTATATTCGCTGCGTGACTTTGTTAGTCTGTTCAGAATCATAAGCCTTGGTATTCATTCAAAAATAGTATGTCTTCGCACTTGTTTTGCGCATGCTCCAGGGCACCGCACTGTAGAGTACTATGTCTCTGGTTAGAGAGGCGTGTTCCTCATCCTCTTTGACCAAGGTAAAATTTGTGAGAAGAGTTTCCCTGGGCACTAAAAACACTAAACCATTAGGGGTTGCCCTTAAGGCCATTTCCACTTAAGAAAAATTTTTACGGACAGAAAATTTTCCGAATATATCATTGTTAAAAGTTGAAAATTTTCAACTTCAAAATTTTTCCGACCGAAAATTTGTGTCTGCCAATCACATTTTACAAAATTTTCTTTCTGCGGAAAATTTTACGGAGTGGACATGGGCTTTTACTGGACCTTTAGGGAAACAATTCACATGAACTGATAGAGCTATCAAGTATAATCCTAACCCTGAAACTTGTGAAAGGTTCGTTTTTACGGTTTACTAACATATGTATGTGACTCAACGTAGGTCATCATGTTCGCCTGGCAAACCTGAAGTGACATTCACTTCTGACTGGAATCTCTCGCAAACAAAATCAGCATTTACATTGAAGCAACCAGGCATGCTCCAAACATCTGCATTTCAACATGAACATCGCCCGAGTACTTTGTTCCTATCGGAGAACGATACCTCCCGGTACTACCTCTCGTACCCGGGGTATACACCTTATTCCCCACGTCTGTATTCGTCCCCCACACAGTTGAGTCCGCAGATGGTTTGTGTCAATGATGTATTCAGTCCATTTCGACATGTTGCTGCTGTTACAGACCCCGGCATCCCATCTGCGTACAAGCCGGAGTTTCGTACCTCACCGGAAAGATGGACCTATGTTCCGACCGGATATACAAGCCCTGTTGAAGCAACGCGGTTTGTGTTTAATGGCGGGCAGGTTCGTCAGAATGACGTGAGGGTGTCAGGATACTGCACTTAATCATTACAGTAATGAAGACTGTGTAGTATACTGTGAATAATGTACTATCAATGCACTATGACTGCCCAGTAATTAAGGATTAACACTATGTTGTGAACCTATGACTACCTTATTATATAAGGTTTCAGTATACTCCCAAGGGGGTAAGCACAAAAATAATTGAAAGGAAATCTTTTTAACATATCAGTGAACCCATAGCGACGTCTTGCTTAAAATCTAAGTGAATGTTGTTGAGCAGAAAATGTATGTTAAAATTGGTAAGCTCATTTCATTAGTCGTTGTAAAACTTCTTGATTAGGCAGATCTAGATTGTCTTGACAGATCCATTGTATAGCTTGCACATATACGTGTACTTTGATCCGAGCTCCAATAGGGTGCCACTCCCTACAGAGTAACTGTTTAGAAACACGTTGGGATGTCGCGTGGGTCATGTTGAAAAGATTTCCTTCAAATATTATAACTATAATTCTCACGGTGTTGACGTAACTCTGTGCCGTGTCACCACATTTACGATTTATAAACTAGTAGTTTGAATATTTAGTGCCATAACTTGGGTATTTATGTCATCAACCACATGACACACATGCACTATTTAACTGTTTATGCACTTCAATAATATATAGGAAGGCTCGTTGCTAAAGGGTGTGAACGAGAGGGAGCTTTTCAAGATGGTGGCTATTTAACAATCCTAAACCCTTACCCTAAACCTAACCCCAATTCCAATCCTAACCCAACTAAAATAAATTTTGAGTTGAAATTTTGAACTACCTTGGAAACCGTTCTAAATGGGATGAACGCGAGCTTTTCAAGATGGCGGCTAGTTTTCGAGATCGTTAAAACTTGAAAAATTAACAACAAGGCGTTTATAACAACCCTAAACCTAACCCCAATCCAGGCCTAACCAACCCCAATCCTAACCCCAACTAAAGCAAATTTTGAGTTGAAATTTTGGACTGTCTTGAAAACCTCCCTCCTTGTTCATCTTTTTTAGCATTACCATCTGGGAAGGTTTCACTAAGCACTAACCTATACAGCAGACGGTAGCCAGCACACTATTTCTATAATAATCTTCTATATGAATATTTACAGTATATCGTAGTGGTATATATATGCCATACTCCACATAATACACTCGCACTATTTAGCTGCACTCTAATTATTTAGATATTTCCTTGCATAGAAGGATACTGGTAAAATTTAGTTAGAAGATTGTCCGCATAATGCGGCACATTTGGTTCTTTCGTGAACTGTACATTTTGATGTCAAAAAGGATATATGCCTAACCTTGTACGAAAACCTTGTCCGCTTGACGATTTTAGCATTACAATGAGTAACATTTGCTCATGATTTCTAGTCTTTATGAAGACAGGTAGCAATATTAAGCATATATAGTCGTAGTATACCCATTTCCGAGGTAGACGTCTGTAAATATACTTTATATTTATATATTTAAACACAAATATTTTGTAAGTATGTGATCAAGTATTGAATTTACAATAAAAAATACATGCACGATATCTTTTGTCAACGTATTTACTAAATCTTAGTTTGTCTTAATTGATTCTTGGTTTTTAGTGTCTATGAAGATAATAAAATTTCCCATTTTCTATGTATACTATCAATATAAAAACTGAACTTTTACCATCATTGCTTATTATGGATTTCCCATATGGTAAATTGGTAAAAACCATGATGTCTAATGTTTACCATTAATGATACCATGAATGGTAAATATTAAACATGGTTTTTACCAATTAAGCAATAATAGTAAGACTTCAGTTTTTACATTCAACAACCCATTGATGGATTTTTTGATGGATTTTTCCCAGTGTTTGTTCACTATTTTCAGGGCTCGAAATAGCGGGCTACCAATGGCCAAAAGCAGGCCATATTTTAGAAATGGCAGGCAAAAACAAATTTGAATTGCCAAAGTAAAAAAAAATGGCAGGTGAAATTCTATACTGTAGCCTATTTCATTTCATTTCATTTGCTTACCACAACTTATATATACTAGATCATTTAGTTGACTAAATACGTTTATATATGAAATGTAAATCCAAGTTTACTGTAGTAAAATAGATAAGTTTAAAAATAATAAAAATACATATCATGAAAACATTGATTTTTACAATATGACTCATATGAGACATCGCCATTTTGGAAGTTCAATGAATAAAAATGGCAGGCTAAAATTTATTTCACCTGCCAAAAAATTTTAGACCGGCATGGCCATATTTTTTCTCTACTTCGAGCGCTGACTATTTTGCTTTTTGTTTACGAGTTCAACGTGCGAGAAGGGCATTTGAGAAGCGAGTGTACCCGGTTGTCGACACCACCAAAAGCACCACAGGCTAGTTTTTCGGCTCTGGGTACGATGCAACTTATACATCATGTACAGTGTCTGCCTACAAAGTATGTGAAAACATGTGAATACCCTGTAGCTTGATAGATGCAGAAGTTCCATAAGCTGTGCGATAGCCTGCAACGACAGGTGTTGAACACAATGAACATTCTTTGATGAATAGAAAAGCAAAGAATATAAGAATGTGGACAGCTGATTGGGAAAATAAAACCAATTTGCTGATTGTCAAAGACAATTTACCAAACCGTTGTTCATCTCTTGACATAAATGAAGATCTCACTGCAGGGTTGCTAACAGTCGTTGAATAACAACACAGCATGGACACCATGAACAACAGGAATACTAGAGCGTACAATGATCGAAATCAATGTGTTTGTTACTTTAACGTAATGAATGCTCGCGCATAAACAAATTACCCAACTATTTAAATTATTGGTCCTAACACCTGCCTTTACTTATGTTTTAACAATAAAATACTTGATCATTCTTCTTCATCAAGCCTCATCAAATCCTAGGATTTCACCAAACTTCGTTTATTCTTTAGACTTGATTGAACTTGATTACGGATCTAGGTCTTGAGTGTCTTCGTAAAACATAATCTAGTCCTAGGAGTTGACCAAACATCGATCTAGTCCTGGAATTTGATCAAACTTCACCCAGTTCTGAGACTTGATTAAACACTGCAACCACAGAAATTTTGTTATTGTAAAGCAGTCCTAATCGATGTATTCTTTATTTACGCAGGTGAAGTTTGATACAATGAAAGATCACTGACAATAATTATATAGACTTGTAAGTATTTCATTTTCTCATGCAAGAGCCTGTTTACATGCGGGCTAGTTATCCTTGATATTCGAAAATACCAACCCTAACCCTCAGATAAATTTCTACCATAGAACGTTTGAAAGGTCCAGCTCTTTATAGTTATTAAGCAATCCAGTTGTATATCCAAGTCAGTGGTCGATACTCCATCCAGTTGTATTACTTGTATATCCAGATCAGTGGTCGATGCTCAATCCAGTTGCTGATCTAGATCAGTGGTCGATACTCAATCCAGTTGTGTATTCAGATCAGTGGTCGATACTCAATCCAGTTGCTGATCTAGATCAGTGGTCGATACTCGATCCAGTTGTGTATTCAGATCAGTGGCTGATGCTCAACCCAGTTTTATATTCAGATCAGTTACCACAATCCAGTGTTATTTCGAGACCAGTTATCACAGAACTCCTCGCTACAATGTTCCCGGGAGAAACTTTATAACAATGACACCTCTGTGCAATTTTCATAGCTAAATGCCTAGTATACACAAACAGAAGTTAAAACTTTGAACATTTGCATCAGAAGGTTTTGTATCTAAATGCGAAATAATAGAAGCAGCAAAGACTCTAATCAATGTATATAAATTTCCACTCGACAATTTTCGTCTACAATACCCATCAAATATGATTCAATCGAGTGAGGATGCCACAAGAATCTTGATATTTACCCATAACCTATACATGGCAGTACCCTAGTTTATATCCACGAACTTGTGGTTAGAGCTCGTGAACTGCATGGCCTCTGTAGCTCAGTTGGTTAGAGCACTGCATTGGAATTGCAGGGCTGCAGGTTCAATTCCTCGCAGGGGCCTAAAGTTCCATCTAGAGTACCCTTCAACTATGATTTCAACCTACGCTATTCAAAGTTTTCACGCATAAGTTACAGTACAAAGCTTGATACAACATCTGTAAGCATTTCTGCAGCAATCATTGTGCTCGTAGCAAAAATAGGCAAGATAAAAGCTTAGTAATCAAATTATACGTCGTGTAGCTATTCATTTTAACCACTTAAAATTAAAGTAATTATCGCCCAAGCGAATCTAGCGCACGTGTATGGCGAGGAAGCATTTCAAGCAGGCATTTCAAGAATGCTCCTTTAAAAGACACCCTTTTTTCAAAATTGCCCAATATTTTTCGTATCAAAACCGATGCTCGCCTTGGGTATAAAAATGAGAAGTTCTCATGCCGAATATAAGCATATGCTTTAATTAAAAGCGCAATCATCTGTATATGAACGGATGTGACCAGACCTCTTGCTGTTTAGATTACAATCTCTTAAAGAATACGGCCTGCGTGTATACAAAGAAGGCTTTTTACCGTCTCTTAAACGCGTGGCAATCAGTTATCGATTGCTTAATTTCAAGGTACTTGCACACATTTGTCCAAAGGTTTGAAAAACTTATATTTAGGCACGCTATTATGTCATGCACGAATTTCGCAAACTTGCAAAAGAACAGTTGTAGGGTTGTTTTTATGGAGCGGTTACAGTCTTTACAGTCCAGTTTTGTACGTAACCATAATAGAATTTACTTCATTGCTGAAAAGTTTAGACATAGCTGTATATTTGCACTGGAGATCTCTATCAGTCATATGTTGTTCTTCCTAGAGGTCCAGTAAAGATCATCCCTTATTGCTACAGTTTCTATTCATTTCCACTAAAGAAAATTTTCCATGGACAGAAACTTTTCCGAAAATATCATTGTTGAAAGTCAAAAATTTTCAACTTCAAAATTTTTTACGACGGAAAATTTGTGTCGGCCAATCACATTTTACAAAATTTTCTTTCTGCGGAAAATCTTCCTGAGTTGGAAATGGGTTGGTTGAGTCAAACTGAAAGCACTCTTCTCATATATAAGTGTGGAGAAATTCTGATCAGCCAACTGTATTACCCTGCTCGCAGAGATGATTCGCACATGCGCTATATAACCTCTGTGCTATCAACACTCTGTAGATCTTGGAGTAATACTGGCAAATAAGAGATGGACCGATTACTGCATGGACATCCAGGGAGAGCATTCAATATAGATTGAACTGATAGAGCATTAATGGCAGTGTGTGAATAATTTAGTACAGTTCACTTTGTCGTTATACTTAGTCGAGCTACCGACTGTTCCATATTTCTTCAAAATATGATGAAAGTAGGATTGTAAGAAGACTGATATTTAGTATGGTTCTTGCAAAAACAATGCAAAATCAATTTTGAAAAACAATGAAAAATCAATTTTGTTTGGGGAAGTATGTGATCAAATTATAGCGTTGTAAACAAAACCGTATAAGCAATCACAAATTTCAATTTGATTTCGGAAATATTTGAATTGCTTGTTAATACCCAAAACATAATTATACATAAATGCTGATTATTGAATATAATTACTATGCTCACAAAGACGGGCTTTGAAACAATAGGGCCTAACACTGAAACATAGGGGTAAATATTATAGACAGCCGGGAATGGTGAAAAACAGATAAGGTATAGCCCATTACTCTAAGACACACGTATCGTAATGAAATTGAATATTTCTCTAGGCGGTTACCATGATTTGTGTGGAGCCTTGCTGTATTTGCTTTTGCTAAAGTACATTGTTATTGTTAAGCAAATGTGATGTGATTTAAATAATAATAGTCTTACACGTGCTTGATTGTATAGGTTCAAAGAAAGTTGTCTGATATTACCGGCGATAATTGAACATGATGAGTGAATGCTTAAAAAAAAGGTAAACAATTGCACGGGTCTCTTAAATAATGTATCAACGCAGCCATTATAACATACATATGAAAACATTGCATTGAAAATGTTTTATCAAGGTACACCCGAAAGTACAGTCTGATGTACAAATTTGCTTTGAAAGATTTATAGCATTCCGCTTATGGCAACGGAATGCTCCATTCGTTTAGATTCATTGAAAAGACACGATCATTGAATTCTTCGTCAAAATTGCAATTATTTTGCGGTTATGAAATCACTTTAAGGAGCAGGCGTAGAAAAAGATTTTCTCCTTGGTAGCAAAATCCAAAAATAGAAGTCTTTATATAGATAGTGTACCAATATCATCTCCACACATGACACTTTGATACTATAGCTATATATAGGTCGCGACTCGGTTTGACTGTTTAATTTTTGTACACTTTTGACTGGAACTTGCTGCTGCATTGAAGCATTTTAATTGCAGCAGCAAATTCCAGGAAAACGTGTTCGAGAAACTAAATTTTCAAAACGTCCTACCTCGCGATCAGACTGTCCGAACAACTTGACGATTTTGCTGCAGACTAATTGGAACATGAAGATTTAAATTCTGGGGTCCATTTTTACCAAGATGAAAAACTTGGATCGGAGAACATATGAATCCAGTCACTACACTAGTATGAATCCAGTCACTACGACTTCCTTTGTTGCACATCAACTATTATGGCTGCTTGCTTGCAGGTAGGCCTGCAATGAAGATGCTAATTCCTGTGTGTTCTCGACTAATTTCTGATTGGTTTCCAATGTGTGGTTCATGGTATCATAGGTCCAGGCAAGGTCTTCATAGGTCCAGGCAAGCTGTTCTTGGATTATTCTCTGTTCTTCTTTCCTGTGACGTGGGTGTTAGATGTTGGGATCCGATGTAACCGCTAGTACAGAAGAAATTATTAATTTTTTATTAATTTATTGCACATCAGCTATTATGGTTGCTTGCATGTAGGGCTGCAATGAAAATTCCTGTCTGTTCTGGCTAATTTCTGATTGCTACCCTATGTATGCTACCCTATGTATGGTATTCAGCTCTTGATAGGTCCTGGCAAGGTGTTCGTGGATCCTTCTTATCTGTTCTTTTCTGTGTCAGATGCTGGGATCCGAGGTAACCACATTAGGGGCGGACCATTAGAAATCCTGGGAGGGGGGGGGGGGGGAAAATTCCCCCCAAAAATTCCTGCAAAGAAGAATACCTGGAAAAAAATTCGCGCAGCCATTACGTCAGAGAAAAAAAAGGTGCAAGGAAACAGCAAAGTGCAAATAGTCTTGAAAAAAAATTTCTTGCAGAGGTTAAATCCTGCATAGACACGAGACTGAAAAAAAAAATCGTTGACTGGAGCTAACTGCAAACCTTACCTGGGTCAGAAGATCTTCTTGTGTGCGCTAGTATAGTGGAACATTTTAATTTTCCAGTATCTTTTTGAAATAGTTACTGACCAGATTTAAAAAGTGTCTCTTTTCTATAAAATTCTCTATTTCCAAACTTTGTATAGCTTGACTATTTTCCTGTTCTGTGGCCAAATTCTGTTTATGCGCTGAGCTATGTTTCTTATTGCCCAAATCGACTTTCTCTGGCTTAATTGCGCAAAACGTTTCCCCCGGTGGCGCGGTTCCCTGTCGCAACTCGCAAGCTACGCGGTCCCATTCCTGATCCAGCTGTTCACTAACTGCAAAATATGTTTGGTTACCTGCAAAAAAATTATATTCTTGGGTTTCATATGACGTCATAAATTTGATGGGGGTCAACTGTAAATCGAGACACAGTCATCCGAGTGAATTAATTGTTCACTGTATGTGTTGGCCTTGTGTTTGGTGGCAAATACATGCAATTTCGTATCATTTGCTCACTCAGTACAGCATAAGCATCAATACAGTTTAGGTTGACCCCCCGTCAGATTCACTGCAAAATGCCGTAGTGAAACCCAAGAATACGAATGTTCTGTGCAGTGCTACTCGAGGGCAATTTGTGTGATGCAGTTAGCTTATTTTATCCATCAACTTATAACTACGGTGTTCATGCTGTCTTATTAATACAATTAAAGCGAGTAGTTGCTTTTTTGAGGCGGTGTTTGACAATAATATTCTACAATATTCTATAAGTTACGCCTATGTCCAATTTGTGATTCAAACGATATAGGTGACGAATACCGTTATTTTTTAAATTGTAAAAATTACAAGTTGAAAAATCTCAAAGAAAATTTCCTGAAAGAGATACTGGAAATTAATAGTTGTTTTAGTTACTAGGTAAAAACGACCTGTTTCTTTATTGCATATCCATGAATGACAAGAGTTTAACAAATTGTACAGCCAGATACATTTACGAGTTAACTAAGATTTTCTCTGACTGTACTGTTCGTAATTAAGGATTAGCTATAGTTTTATTGTTTGTATGTATCTGTTATATTGTAATATATCCTATGTACCAGTAATGGTGTAATGGAATAAATATATTATTATTATTAATATTATGGACTTTATGGGACTCTGTCTTATAATGCCCAACCTCTTTTGCTGAACACAAAAAATATTATAGACTTATCTGTAAATGAACAATTCTCAACCTTAAGATCTTATCATCTGGATCTTATCCTACACGCTTAACCTGCAGCTACAAACAGCTAATTTCATTGGTGGGCGAGGCGAATTCTAACCAATCACGTCACGAATTTATTAAACTCCCAACTTCCGGTCCTACGGTAATAAAACAAACATGTGTTCAAAGAAAAAACGACTCGTTATGTAATAAACTAGGGAAAGGTTTAATTTTAAAAAAGCTCTTTTAAATCACTACTATTTTTATTTCGGTCTATGCTTGACCTATCCTAGTTATCCTATAAAGTATATTTTCATCAAGACGCGTGAACTTTAATTATTGGACCCATATTGTTAATCGGCCAAGGTCAGAACACAATATAGTTTCAACAATAATATTTCTCACGTTTTTGTTATATATATTTCCTTATTATACATTTAGTTGTGTAACAATCGATTCTAATAATGTCGAAACATAAGTTGTTAGTTTATAATAACATTCCTCGTGCAAATGACTTTAGTGGCCTTTATGTAAAATGCAAATTTTTATAATTTCAAGCATTAATTGCATAAAATATTATTTGTGGGCCTCAACAGAAACTCTATAAAACATGTAGCATTAAGAGTTTGCATAGTTTTGTATTCTATAATAGAAAATAATTTATATATACTTGTATGGTTATATTTATGCAACATTTTCATTTGATCAGAGCGGCTAATTCATATATTTAGTCGAAAAGAGCAAAAGAATAGGAATCTCTTAACTCCGCCCACTTTCTAGAAGCCTCGAAGCGAAAAATAAATATATATATATATATATAGAAAACTTTTCATCATTGCATCGGGCATATAAATCGACAAAGGCTATCTACCCTGTATATAACACCTGCATTACTGCGGGTTATACGCAAATATATAGGCCTGGGATATATGGCACTAGCATAGGACTTCTATAATAAATTAACTTGTAATACTTATTATAATCCACAAGGCGTGGGTGTATGTTTTTTACACACAGTAGATTCACTTCGATTGCTGGGCTAAAATTTTGAGGCATCTGATACGATATCAAAAACTCCAGGGTTTCTTATTAGTAGTGCCTGTCTTAATAGGATTGCCATAGCCTAGCGTAGCGTATATATCGGGCTATATTGCGACATTTGCATTGTTGGCTTTCGACCAATCGGATTGCGAGGTTTTAATTACATGCCACGATCACTGCGGAGATTGTTAGCTGGTGTTCCCTGTGACAATTAGTCTTGCGTACACATACGGTAGTGTGGACTGTAGTCGCGATACACACTCACGCAGTGCTGCAGTAAAGTAGAACCGTGGTTGACTTTACTATGGCTCTAACCGCGAGCTATCCCGTCATCGAAGACTTGGCTATGAAATTCAATAGACATTCACTACACGATAGCTTTCAGCTACCAGCTTTTTACTCAAGCTCATGGCAAGCCAAGGAATTTGCATTATATTTACAACCGGGATTCATCGTAGATCCAAGTTTCGATCAAACAGTCCCGTTCGAGTTCAAAGCCAATGGAACTTTTACTACGAAGAAGAACAATCGTAATAAACTACAAAGTGATCGAACAAGCTCGACGAAACATAGTCCTAGGCATAGTCCGAAACGCGAGCAAGTGAAGGGAAATAAAGCACAAACTATAGATCCAGCTCACAGTTCTGATAACAAAGAATGTAGAAGCAACGCTGTGAAGAACTTACATTTTGATGAGGATTGTTTATCAGACGACGAGGAATTGTCTTGTTATTTCTCAAAGGAAACTGAACTTTGTCATGATAGATTTTTACCGACGACAGTTGAGAGTTCTCCGACTCGAAACCACAATCGAAAGAGATCTATGGAAGATGAGGAGTGCACGACAATCAAACGATGTTGTAGACCACGTTTAAACTTTGATAAAATGCTTTTGAACAGTAGAGATTCACTGGAAAACACATGGAGTGTTGAAACGGACACGACGAACTATTTTAGGCCCATAAGCCCCCAGGTTTTGCTATCGTAACTAGTTTAGGTTAACACAGATACTTGAGTGTAATGTAGTTGTTCTACAACCAGGGAACTCGATTCAAATGCTATCACAATTCAAATGCTATATTGAACAGTCAAGATGCATTTGAAGACATAGAATAACTATGTTAGACCTTCAAGCTCCCGGGATTTACTATCGTGGTTGTAGGAGGACACATGTACTTCAGTACATAGGATAGATCCTCGTCCCAGAACGAGGTTCGTTCAGGTCATATTGTGAAGCCTCAAGCGTGTCGTAGATAGGAAAACGCTTAAATGAAACGGAAATCTATTTAAATCCATTCATTTTCCAGCCACGATCCGAAATAGAGGAGAAAATCCTTCACTGGACAAATTTTTCATTATGGGACTGAGAATGGCTGAGAGTAGATCAATAGGATTATTGTTAATCTTCATAAAAAAATCAATTGACATGAAAAGCGTTAAAGTGAATTTTTTCCACTCGTGGTAGGACTATACAGAATAATTTTTAGAGAATTTAGTGCATAGCTTTACCCCATTTAGTGTAGTGTGTATTTTTCAGTGTTGCGAAGAATGAATTTTATATAATCCCTAGTTGTTAGTCGACATATTTAGTTGTATATATATATATAAATATGAATGTATTTATTAGTACCGTTAGCTATCAGTTCACACACAGAGATATTTAATATTATTGTACTTGGGAATATACCACATGGGACAACGAGGGAAATATGTACACAAGCTAGGAACGGGCGTAGATGTATTGTAATGGAAGCGTATTTTGAAAGCGATATATCAATAAAAGCTTATTTATAAATTCATCCGTGTATATTGACTCTACGCACCCCACAAACAATCGGACACGATTTGCCTTTTAAACAAATCAATATTCAAGAGGCGCACACGCCACCAGATGCCATATATGGCGTGCTCCTATCGCGATAAGTGCTCCGCGGAAAGCCCAAATAATAGGCTCCGAAAACCGAAGATACATGAATCGGGATGTAATGATAGAGACGCCATGTTTCCCATTGATAAAAACCTGTGAAGGATTCATATCGCGGGGCCGCTTTTGATTACAGGTCAATCTGGTGTAAACAATGTTGAATAGCGAAAATTAATTTCAGTTTTTCAAATCCAGCGAAGTATATTGGATAAGTTTTAGTAGGAAATGATGAAAAAACGTAGAATTAAATGCGTTCATTCATTTTCCACGTTGATAGGCTATAAAACCTCGCTCTATTGCTAGCTGAATTCAGGGGGGGGGGTTGCAGATAAAACCTCTAGTAATGACAAACATAGGACGAACATTTTCTCGCTGTTAAACCATATGTCCAGGCCGGGTGTGGGCGCAGCCTAATAGCCTAAATATACTCTTCATATGATCTTCATATATAAGTGCTAAGATCTAAATCGATGGCATAACAGAGAGAATGCCTGAACTGTTTGTTTATTCACTGTCTTCGGGGCTTTGTTTCCAGGCCGGGGGGTCATCCTATAGTGACCAGCTTTCACTGCACTTACATTACGTTTGATGTTGTATTGTATGACATTTTCAAGACAAGCACAATAGTAATTAGCCTAGACATCTAGTTCATCAGAACACCGAAGACCATTTCGTACCAGGAGTTTCTCAGAAATTGCAATATGAGTGCAAGGCTAATCCTCATTTTTTCAGAGACAAAGTGTATTGATATCGATCTTGGATAAAATTGCCGCAAATTTTTATAATGAACAAAATATCATAGTTTTTCTCCGGTTCTCTAGAATGAACGATATTGCTTCTTAAAGGATTAATATTTGTTATCAGTTGGGGGTAGTATAGTACCCCCCAAGAGATTTGTTGAGCTATATCTCAGCTCGTAATAGTGATCCCATTTCGCAATGCTGCTAGATTTAGTAAGCTTTCCCTTCACTGAAACCAAATGCTCATTATTGTCTTTTCAGATGACTAAATTAGTGAACCTATAGTCTTATTGATGCGTATAAAGACTCGTTCAGTGGATGATCCAACATTCGATGCAGCATTGTTGGCCTTGTCTGAACGTGATGTTTGAAGATTGAGTTTGACTGTGTTTAAAATTTCCATCTTACATTATAATTGGCTTCCTTTGAATACTATGTTGAGTAGTGTTGCAGGATGTTGGATTGAGTTTGACTGTGTTTAAGATTTTCATCTTACATTATTGGCTTCCTTTGAACACTATGTTGAGTAGTGTTGCAGGATGTTGGATTGACTTTGACTGTGTTTAAGATTTTCATCTTACATTATTGGCTTCCTTTGAACACTATGTTGAGTAGTAGAAGATGTTGGATTGACTTTGACTGTGTTTAAAATTTTCATCTTACAGTATTGCCTTCCTTTGAACACTATGTTGAGCAGTGGAAGATGTTGGATTGACTTTGAGTGTATTTAAAATTTTCATCCAACAATTGTTGGAGCAACAATATTTGAATGGAGTTTAAGTGTCTTCTGGTGGCATGCTTGTTGGTAACACAATGGTTGGTATATACACTGTTCCACTAAAAATAAACTCTTTGAAAGCTATCAGTTCTTAATGGCCATCTTATTCATCAACGACATCCCTCTGATGTTATGAGAAAAGTAAATTTTAAATACCACAGGTTTTCCGTATACCATTTTTTTTTGAAAATCTTTACTATGAAAATAGTATGCATTTTAGTTGGAAATAGTATTGAAATCCAATTTTCTTACCAATTCCAATTTCCATGCTATGGATATAGTGTCGAAATAGTATGCATATACTAAGGATTTAGTAATGCAATTGCAAAATCCATTGTATGAATTTCATTTTTTAGTTCTTCCTGTGGTAACTCTGGACCACTATATGTACCGCACTGCGCAACGTCCCGACCTGAGTGTTTTGACTAAAGAACTTGCATCCATGCACAGTGACTAAAATATTGAGTAATATTACTCAAATTCATGAGTAAATTTATTCATATTGGTAAAGTAAATCTTTATTTAAAGAAATTGCGTAAGTTTAGAACTTTAACTTCATAAAAAAATATTTACTCGTAAATTTGCGCCGGTAATTTTACTCAAATATTTTGGATCACTGTCAGTGCATTTTTTACTCAAGTTTTTAAGGCAGAACCGTTTTATTAGCTGTATTCTTCTTAAAAGAATACGAAATTGGTGGTAAAACAATATAGCCACAAGCGATATCTTCACTCACTGAAACAGAAACCCTTGGAACATTAAAATATTTTTTTCTGCACGAAAGAGAAGGGCGCATGAAGCACTTTCCCGAAGAAAAAACCTGTCATGGAATAAGACGGACACCCGTAAAGCAGCATGCAAACCATTATCCGTTAAGAATAAATCAAAGAGTTTGTTTGTCTGCAGTTAAGTACTGAGATTTAGACAGCCTAGCTTGAAATTGTCTTCGTGTTTGCACCCAGGATTAAAAGAAGACTCTTTAAATTTGCTTTCTAGAATATTTTGTGAATAAATGTGTCGTGGTTATGACTCCTGGTTAAGTTTTTTTTTGTCGGTTGTAAAGCAGGGTTCATTCTTGAAAGGAAGTTTTTATTTCAAAGGGAACAAAAAATGAAGAAAGGCTCTTTTTAACATTCTTCCGTGCACGTTATTTTCAAGTGCCCATTAAGTATTTTGTATTTGCATACCCTGAACTGTGAACCTCAAAGTAAAACACTGCATGTAAAGTAATTTAAACTAACTTTATGACGACATCAGTTCTACAAACTGTTCTCCCTGGAGGTCCAATAAAGGGCTATATGACTATATCCACTTCTGGTCCAACCCTGGACACAGAAGACAAAAGGATACTACGAGTAACCACATGCAGTACGACTAAAATTAATACAATCTCCACCAATTTTCTACCAACCTCACTTTAGACTTTATATACGTCTCAAGCACGAAAATGAGACCGGCTTTTTAACAAAGTTTGACCTATATTCGTGTCTTGTTAATATTTTAAATCTTATGTCCCTCAAAAATAGCTGTCACAATGTTTACTTAGTTCGACAATGTATTCCATGTTGTGTGTTTAGAATACAACGCCAGTGTGCAACTCTAGACCCGCTTCAGAGTGCATTTACAGGCTTTCACAAGAAAGCCCTAGGTTTACCAGACTAATTATGACATGAGGTCACAAGTGTAAAGTAAACTTGAGTAACCCCTTAAGCACAGCTCCCCATCGCAAAGGGATCATTTCTGTGGAGTAATATTCGGTGCAGATTATCTGTGCTGTGGAAGGGATTAGCTGCGGCCAATCACTGTCAGCGTGAGACTCACAAAAGGTTAAGAAAGGCTTTAACATGCGATCTCCCCTACAGTGCCACCAGCTGTTTACGGCTTGCCTTAAATAAAGGATGATTTCTTTAATCTACGCTCAAATTATGCGGGAGATATTACTAAAGGCGTATTGATGTCTAGGAATAAGCTAGAATCTCAGATGGTTGTGACTACCTTTTCTTTATATAAAATTCTCATACTTCTTTTTTGATAAATTCCCAGTTACAACCTGTTTCGCTACATAACCCCACTCCCCCTACTTGGGGCTTTCAAAATAACACGGCGGCCGGCGAAGCTCCTGTGGGTGCCACGAGTTTCACCGCTTTGTTTAGTACTTGAAATATCAATGGACAACTTGCATGTTAGACTAAATTTTAATCTAAGTAAAGAGAAGGGAATAAAACACAACAGTTAAAAAGAACATAGTGAAATTAGTAAAATTGCAAAATTTGGTTGCGAAATGTTGTAAAATACAGAAAATATAGCCTTGCGAAGTTTGCATATTTTCAGCATGTTTGTATTACGTGCGGAAATTGTTACCATTTTTGAGCCAAAAATGGTAACAATTTCCGCACGTAATACAAACATGCTGAAAATATGCAAACTTCGCAAGGCTATATTTTCTGTATTTTACAACATTTCGTAACCAAATTTTGCAATTTCACTGATTTTAATAAGTTCTTTACGGAAATTTACTTTTTTTTTCTAGATCAAAAATTAGTCTA